TATTACATCGGGCCCAGGAATAAAAAAGTATACAATCTCGAGGTTCAAGTAGATATTAAATAAGAGTGTATTAGTGCCATCTATAGATATCCCGGGGAACTTAAGATTTCTGCAGTAGTTTGGCTGAAATTATCTTTTTACTGAGTTTTGCTGAGAATATATCCAAGAGAGGGCGCAAGGGGACCGTGTCCAGGAATGCTGGGGATGGGATGTCCAAAGACTTAACGACGTGCTGAAGGTGGACGTGGAGCCAATCCCAAGAATAGACGTCACATTTGAAAACATGGGGCGGAAGAAGTTACTTTCGAAGTTAGACCTGTCGAAAGGATATTGGCAAACCCCGTTGGAGGAGTCATCCAAGGAGATGACGGCGTTTTCATCGGAAAGTAATCATTACCTGTTCAAGTGTACACCATTCGGACTGAAAACCGCTTCGGCTATCTTCACAAGGCTCATGAGAAAACTGCTTGATGGGATCCCTGGCGCTCATAATTATATCGACGATAGTCTGATCGCCTCGGACTCATGGGCACAGCCCTTCAAAACATTGAGAACAGTTTTCGATCGTCTGCGATTCGTTAACATCACAGCGCGACCAAAGAAATGTGAAATGGGACTCACTGGGACTACCTTTCTCGGGCACGAATTAGGTGGCAGACGGATCGTGCCCAATGCGGAAATTCTTGAGAGGATTCAAGACGCACCGAGACCAGTGACAAAACGCCAAGTTAGACCGTTCTGATGATAATGCAATTAATGCAAAGGTGCAAGTGAGCTGGACAAAGATGACGAGAAAAATCCCTGGAGGAAAGGAACAAGGTGGACAATGGACAAACACAAAGCTCCAAACACAGCTATGTGATTGGTGCGCGACCGAAAAAATCCGCCCTGATTAAGTGGCTTCTACCGCGAGTTTGTGCCAAATTACGCGGATATGGCTCCTCCACTGGTTGAACTCACGAAGGTGCACGGAAAGAAGTTGAGTGGGGGAAGAGCAGGAGGAGGCATTCTAGAGTTGGAAAAGCTGCCTGTCAATATCACCAATCTTGCTGGTTCCAAACCCTGAAGGGGAGTTTGTTTTACGAACTGATGCATCTGATATATGCTTGGGTGCAGTAATGCTGCAGGAAAACGAAGGCATTTTGCACCCAGTGACTTACGCTAGTAGAAAGCTATGGAAATCAAAGAAGAATCTTGCCACAATAGAAAAAGACTGCTTGGCGATTGTGTGGCTGTCGGGAGATTTAGATTGTTCCTACATGACCGGAAATTTCGAGTTCAAACTGGTCACCGTCCGCTGGAATTTCTGAATAAGGCGAAACATGCTAACAACCGCGTGATGCGATGAAGTCTGGGGATGCAAGACCAGGACTTCCTCGTAGAGTTCACCAAGGGTTCAGATAATGTTGAAGCGGACTTCTTGAGTCGCGTTGAAATATAAACAGAAGGTTGGCATATGGCGCGGTACATTTGAACATATTAAGTATAGTGATTACTTGGACGTATATTGTAGATAGAGTCTGCAAAGAAGCAAGTCAGATCTTGTTTTTTACCCTTTTTTTCTGGCCTAGAGAGGTTTACTTTGTTATTAAATCTGAGCTTTTTCGTGAGGTGGCGGTTTGAAATGAAAGTGAAAACAGGTCTGGGAAATGCAAACATGTTTTTGTTCATTATTGATGCGTGGACTTTGGGGCAGGTTATTTGTTTTCTTATCTGCTCGTGCTGGTAACGCATGTGCGCGGGTGCTACAAAGGAAGTTATTATGTGCGCGCGTGCATCGGCGACCATGTCAACGGTGTCGTCAGGTACACAATCTTCATGGGACAAAGTTCTGAAGGGGGAGGGGGATGTCATGATTTGATGACAAATTGCTGCGGAACAATGTTAAAGAGAAGGCAGGGCAGGAGGAGAGCTCGAGCAGGGGAAGCGTGCCACGGGCGGGGCAATAGACCGATCTCACCAAGCGTTCCACGCATGCGTGACGCCGCCATAACTGTAGTTCGTAGGAGGCCGATGCCAGTTCACGAGACAGCTCATGCCAATCGTGCTCTGCTCGCGCAGACCTCCAGCAGGGTTGTCGCGCGTGCAGAAAGACTACAGCTCCCACGATGCACGTCGGCAGCGGTGGCGTACTCAAACTAGCTGTGAGATCGGTCTATTGGAAGCTGAAGACTGTCCACGACGGACGGTTGGCATAGCGCCGAACAGCTGCCATGGTCAGCTAAGCGCTACGTACCTGGTCCCCGAAGCCGTTGTCCTTCTCCGACGCGGCCCAGGGCTGCCACGAACAGTCCCTAGAGAAGGCTGCCGCTCCGACACCTCGAACTCTCGGACATCAACAAGGCGAAGGCGACCGCCTTTCTGAGGGCACACCATCAGATGGACTCGTGGGCTAAGCGTCGAGTCTTCACGTGACAATGACTACAACCATCTGTCATTCTATAACGCGTAGTGATTTTTGGTGCGTCCTTTATTTTTCTTTTATTTGCCTCTTCCTTTTCCAACGATTAATCTTCCTCACTTTAGTTTTCCTATTGGAAATATACAACTTACTTCTTATTTCCGCAATCTACATGACGTCTGTCCATAGAGAAAATAACGTAAAGAGCGGACACTCGAGCCGTTTCGCGGCCCAGGAGCTAGGGACTGTACTGGCCGTTGGGAGGCGCAACAGTGCCATCTAATTCAGAAAGTTGCTATATATATGCAATTAATAAATATATTGAATGTATAAAGTAAACTTTTAAAATTATTATTAGCCTTGAACTCTTAAAAAAAAGCTTGAATGGCTGCGGCTATGGCTGCGGCAAGACGGGTGGCTTTGGGGCGGCTGCGCTGTTTGGTCTGTGCAATTGTCACGTGCGATACGCAGTAAGCGTGCTGTAAGCCCTGATGTGAATTTTCGGTAGTTTTGGGATTGCAACGCGTGTTGCGAGAGAAAGAAAGAAGATGTTGGAATCGGAGAAAGCAAGATCGCAAGGACGACGCCATCGAACAGACCTTCCCTGTATATTATGCAAATATCCCGCAGTTTTACTTCATAGAAGTGTTTTCTTTTGTGAACGATTTCGCAATTAATCAACAGGCTCGTCAGCTTGTTGTCTCGTTCTGGATTTTCTTGTGTTGCGCTGTAGGTAAGACGTTTTACTTTTTCCGTGTTTTGTTTGCAGTTGTGTCGTTTCGGTTGCGTCTATGACGTGTTGGAATTTTCCTATTGTCATCATGAACGTGAGAGCTGTCATTCGGATTGTTTATTAACATGGGTCGTTGTCCGGGTTCTCCCCCATGCACGGTGAGCGACGGTGGTTCTCCTTCCCACCAGTCCAGCCGACCGCCCATCTTTGTGATGTGCTAGCCGCCTCGATATATCGCCACGGATCGACCGAATCTCACAGTACCGTGCTTACCATCATCGATCCCCGTGGGGAAACGTGACATGACGCGTGGAACGAAAGTGATTAAAAACATGATATGTAATTGAAATTAAACGGAAGACGCATGCCTCAAATGATTTCACTCTATGAAATAATTCATTTGTCTTAAAGAAAAATTTGAAGAATTTTAGGTGGGATTCGTACCCACGACCCTTCGGTTGCAAGCCAGACACGCTTACTGACCAGGCCGCGCAACAATTTTTTTCTTTTCTTCATTGCTAGGCCGCGCAAGACACGCTTGCACGGCGGATGAGAAGGCGATGCGAACGGGGTCCGATGACACTATCGCGTTCCACTCTTAAAAGCAAAGCTTGTGGGTCGCCTGACAATTCCCGATCAAGCCGAGTTCTACTCGCTCCGAGGAAGTCACACAAGGAGCGCTATGATAGACAAACACTTTATCGATACTTAAGTTGTGCCGTCGATGCTGTGGAAGGCCAAGGTTGCCTTGTGGTCCGGGTCTTCCCTGGGCCCCTTCCGCACCGGCTCTTTCATTCGTCACGGCCCTTCGACTCCGTCCACGCGCACCTACCTCCTCCTGGCGCCGTCTTCTACACGCAGTCCGCTCACTGTCCCCCACAAGCATGGGCGTACCAACCGGGGGGGCAAGGGGCGCTTGCCCCCCCCCCCCCCCCTCTGGGGTCTTGCCCCCTCCCTGAAACAGCCGCCACTGGGTAGGGAAAACACTGGCCGGCAGCGCTCATGGGATACCAAGGGCACCGCCCCTTGCCCTGGGGGGGGGGGGGGGGAGGGGGTTTGGTTTTGCCCCCCCCCACTGAAAAACAAGTTGGTACGCCACTGCCCACAAGCTTTAGCGTCTTCCCAATTTTGTTTTCTTTTTGTCTGAAGAGGGCTTGCTTGTTGCGCAATAGCAACATATACAGACTCGAGAAAACTTCTGGGCAGCCGTTTGACGAGCACCATTCTCAGGAATGAGTACGACAGGGGATTATTAAGACCCACTTAAACACGCAAAATGCGCGTACCTAAACCTCGACTGAACGCGCTAAGCCCAGCAGACACACGACCTCTAGAAGAAGCGGCGAACTTCGGGGCCGTGTTCCAAAATTTACTCGATCTTACTCCAGGGTAAGAGTTTTGTACCTTGGCGTTCCAAAACCTACCCGCGTCCAGCGTTCTTCAATCTGTGTTGTCACGTGACACAACCCACCGGAGTAACTCGGGTTCATTTGGGTAAGATTTGGAACACAGCCCCGGTGACTTCACTCGCACCCGGCTCGGAGAGCAGCTAAGCCTGGTAATACTCAGGAAAGCTACTTTACAGAGCTAAGTCACATATGAGTTTCGGCTGGCGAGCTTGCTAGACACGCGAATCATTTACAGAGTCAATTCTATTATTACAACTTCAGCATGCATCATTTTGGACATGTCGCCGTGGATGACAACAAAAAAGACAATAGAATAAAAGAAAACGAAAACTAGACAAACACAGCGTTGTTTTACTTACGCATTGCACAAAGTGCCTGGCTGCTTTGGCGATTGAGACAGTCTGTTCTGCAGGCTTTTCGCAGGGAAAGTGACAAGAGAAACGAAGAAATACTCGAATTTCTGAGAAAACGTACACAGTTTGTATTTGTGCTCAGTGTATGTACATAAACGTTCCAGCATGAAACGGCGTCCAGCAGAAATCAAGGACGAATTGGCATCACTATCATTTATGTTTAGCAGAAAGGTAACCCGAAGCGGTTCGCATTGGTAAACAGCATCTCGAATGTCGATTTGATGTTATTTTAGAGTAAAAAAGAAAGCAATGAAGAGAGGAGTACAACGATCAGCTAAAATATTAAACAATCGTTTGCCCTCTACACTTGTTCAGGAGTACTAAGTCAACATTTAAAATGCTCGCCTTCATAACCGGGTAGTAGATCACAACTTTGCTCTTTATTTAACAACAAACCAATAACACAAAAAAAACGAAAAACGACGCATATTTCCGTATGGCACGGCGAGCTCACGACTACTTTCGGTTCCAAAGTTCCAGGACTTAAGGGGGAAACCTTTCATAAAGGGTCATCATTTAATTGAAGTGCACACATAAAAGTCGCAATCCACGCAGCGAAACACGACTTATCTTTGATTAGACAGGCGATAAAGAACCTACTGATTTGAATTCAATATACTTTGGGAGCGACCTTTCAAATTCGAACCCAATAAAAATGGTAGATGATTCGCAAAGAACTTAAGCTAGTCACTCGATCCCGACCAGCGCATTAACTGCTAAGGTTGTGGGTTGTTTCTGGACACCAATTGGGTGGGGGGAGGGGGGGGGGGGGGGCTTAAACCGTAACAGAACCTGTCAAATTTGTTGGCTAATTTTATGAAAATCAATTTTCAAGCCCACGTAACCTCTTGCGTTTTTTTTTTCCTTTTTCACATTTACCGAACGAGGCATGTCCTTCTAGTTTTCGTAGTGGCAGTTCTGTACCTAATTTATTCCGGCACACCTACATTGAACACCGCGGATAGCCGCAGACGAATTTACACTGCTTGTGAAAGCATAAAATGTTTACTTCATCTACTGTTGTTAGAAAAATAAAAATAACGCCAATAGGAAGAAAAATAAAGAAAAAAACGAAAGGGAAACTGCTGGGGATCCAGTTAAAGGTAGGAGTTTAGTTTTCCAGCATTGCGCAACCTCTGCTGGGGTTCTAAGCCTAGAAAGACAAAACGATACCCGAAAATGCCCCGAGTCGACTAGGCTCGAGCGAGGAATCGGCCTTGCGCGTAAGTTTCGCATTCACCGTTTTTCGTTTCACCGTATACAGCCTGCCCTTTTTGCCTGCTTTACCACGACGCCGCACACACGCAAACTTAACCACTTACCATGGCCACCAAAACACGTCCTTGTTACTCCTCTGGGTATATGAACAAAACAGCGAGACCTAGCGCTCTTTAACGGGATTTGCAGTCTTCTTTACCGGCAAATGCAACATTCATATCCGCGAAACATCACTGAGCGAGACCGAGGACGGTTGAGAAGTGTCACGCATTGCCTTGTTCTTGCAGCGGAATCGGCTATTAACAGCCAACCGCTGCGGTGCGGACACATTTTGATAGATCCGTCGTTTCACCGACAATGTTTCATTGCACCCTGCCTACATGCCATCAGGTGTTTTTCTTCGCTCATTCTAATCAAGTTAGATATGCATCGTTCGAGGGTGCGAAAATAACACGGGCGAGATGGTTCGAAAGTTCCGCTCAATTTCGCGTACACTTCCGCTTGACGTCCCTGCCGAGGTCTCTGTCTTCGTCCAGAAGTCTCTTGTCCGCGTCTGGAAGCGGCGCTCCCGCCGATGCACCCCGGCTAACTTTGAGGTGCACGGAGTTGAGGCTCCGCCTGCCGGACTTGACGGGTCTCGTCCTGGGACCCTCGTCGTCTTCGGTGTCCACCGAGTCCCTCATGTCGTCGTGTTCCGGCGTCCCCCTCCGCCGCCTTTTGTCGCGGACCTCGGCATCCGGCCTCCTGGGCACGTCCCTGCACGGCGCATCCTTGAAAGGCAGCGGGATGGGGATGGGGATGGGAATCGGGATGGGCAGGAAGATCGGGTAAGGCACCATCACCGTGGGCGGGGGCAGCAGCGGGTTCGGGGCCGGCAGAGGCAGCAGCGGCGGTCTGGGCAGCCCCATCCGTGGTAACCCGGGAGGCGGCGGCAGAAAGGACCTGCCCGGCGCTATGCTGTCGTGGTTGCTGGCGTTGTGGTGGTGCATGCGCATCTGGTGGAGCATGTGGAACGCTGGGTGGGGAGGAAGGAACGGAGGTCTCCTGGCGGAGTCGGGCAACGGCATGCCCGGGAGGGACAGGGGCGGCATCAGCTGCGACGGCGGTGGCGGCGGTGGGGCTGGCGGACTTCCCGGAGTCTGCTGGCCGTTCATGTTCGAGCTGGTCGTGCTCAAGGGTGTGCTGGCGGTCCTAGGCGGCGACCGGGCCGAAAGCGGCTGGTGGTTATGAGACGACGGTAGGGACGCGTTCTCTTGGGCGCTCGTTGACGACGTTTCGGGGCGCGACGACCTCAACGAACGACGTCTTCTGTGCGGATGCTTGTGCGACACTTTCTGCGAGAGGTTCACGGGGTCCCCTCCCGGATCGGGAGAGGGTTGCGGGAGCCGCGGGGGAGGGAGTGGTAGCGGTAATGGCGGCGGGGACCTCCGCTCGTCCGGTTCCTCCTCGTCGGCCGTGTCGTGGCCGTTGGCCGTCGTGGAGGAAGGCTGGGTCTTGCAATCTCGAAGCCAAAGCTCGGGCGTGATCAGCCCCGACGCGGCCTTGCAAGCCGCTTCCTGGAGGTGAGGGTGCATTTGCAGATGGGCCTGAGTCTCTCTGCAAAATATGTTCATCTTGTACTGGTTGAGGCACTTGTCGCTGCAGAACTGTAGCTGCTGTTCGCCGTCCTGGAAGTCGACGTAGTTGACCGTGTGCCGGACGTGCTTGCACCAGTCGCACACCTTGTTTTTCTTGAAGGACGCCCTCCGGCACTGGGTGAAGCAGAGCTCGGAGCAGAAGGTTTTGCTCCCGTTGGTCGTCTTGAGGGTGAACAACTTCATGCCAACCTTCTGGCACCAGGCGCACAGGATGCAGTTGGGCGGGAGGTTCGCCGAATCTGCGAAAGAAAGAAAACAGTGTTGCTCAGATTTACAAGCTCCAAAAAGCTATTTAAAAACAAAAGTGCCAGAAAAAAGGAATTTTAGAGGGACACTGACAAGGTTTTACTGCTTCACAATAGTTTTACTGAAACAACCTACGGGGGCCACGCTACACAGGAAACATAGTTGTGGCTCAAAATGATTTTCTGTACGAAAACCGCTGGTCAACCCTCGTTTGTTCAGGCACTCTAATCTGAATTCGGGAATTCGGCGGCCGTGATTGGCCTACGCCGCGCTTGACCTTAGCGCTGACCAATCACGTCACTCGAATTCATCGCCGACTTTTTCGCCAAGTGTTCAGATTAGAGCCCCGGGTCTGCTTTTACTTTCTTATCTTTAATCACGTCAGACTCGTACGTAACGAGTTACAAGTAACTGATTAGTTGTAATCGATTGCATTTCATTGTAGCTTTTTAAGGCTTCAATTAATTTGTTCTGCCGTAATTCTCATTGTAATTCAATTACTATTTTTTTTGTAATCACTTATAAGTAATCAATTATATGTTTTCGAAATAGCTAAGATTATTGAGTTAACCTTTTTACGCAAAACAATCGCCCTGTCTGTTCGTGCGTCGCTTGTTTATGTTGCACCATCGTTGGACACCTTTTTCACCCCTAAACAACTAAAAAGATGCCAAGATACCTAAAGGATTAGAATATCAACGCGCTCAGTGACGTCTTGACTGTCGAGCTGTCGAGAGTGCCTCGTTCCCAGTGTACGGGTTCTTAAGATCCGGGTATGCCGCGGCATAAACTACAGTGTTCTGCACTGACCTCATCTATACTCCATTAACTTTTAAACTGAGACTAGACGCTCGGCCTTAAGCGCGAGCTCACTGACTTCCGCGGTGCTTTGGCTGCGCGTGACTGTGCGTTCACACTTGTAATAGCAAGGGCAGAAAGCTCGCGCTAAAGGCGGAGCTTCTAGTCTCAGCTTAAGAGTGAATGGTGTATAGCTATGTCCATAGCCTCCTATATACTGACAAAGCTTGGCAGATCGCCACGAGGAGCGGCCGCCGAAAAGGAAAAGGCGGAGCCGCAGACAACGGATGAGAGGAGAGTCACGTGACTGGCGCCCCTCTGCGGCGAGATACCGAAACGCACTTCTCCCGAGCGAACAAGTGTGCTTCGGGTCTTCGCTGCTACAAAAGGAGTGCACTTCTGACGTCCCACTTCCCGAGAAATTGCTCTTTGATACTCTGTGCTACCAGATCCTTGCGCTCAAAATCTGCGACCGAGCACTCTGTCGTCGAACTGCCAGGCTTTGTGAGTATAGAGGAGGCTATGCCATAACAAAGAACCCCCCCCCCCCCCCCCCCCCAACACAACAACAAAAACACAATTCTCGAAAGAGTTCACCAGCGCGTAGCGCGTGCTTGTAGAACGTACTAAGAACAGAAGGTTATCTTATCCACGGTCGCAAGAGTGGGGCTTCGCTTCCTAGAGGACCCGGAAGCGTCAATCGAAGCACTGCGCAGCCATGAATTAGTACGCAGTGTTTTGTGCGCTACAACGCCTCTCTTCCCTCAAGCACATCCGTCGGGAGGGTCTACAGCGTCGCAGAAGGTATCTTCACCAGGAAACGTGGGAAGGTGACTGGCGAGAACCTCGAACGACAATTGCTAACGAGGTGTGAATAACTTAACGAGATGTGAATGACGAAAATAAACAAAATGCAACCACTTTGAACATTTGTATGTTTTTTTTATTTCCTAATAACAAGTAAAAGAAAGCAGCGTGAAAACTAAACAATTACTTTTTAGTAATTTTTCAATAACTATTATGATGCAGTAATTGATTACTCCAATCAGTTACATTTTTCAATAAAGTGATTGTAATTGTAAATGGTTAATTTTTTCAGTAACGCGTAGAGGACTAAATCACGTGCGGTGACGACAAAAACTCCACAATTGTGTCAAAGTTATATAGGTAACGCGTATTTGTAATGAAAACCGATATAGTACGCGAACCCTAATTTGAATCACCAGTGAAGCACAAAAAGCGCACTCGCGGTGAGCGATTCCCCACAACTCTTGTACACTTTGATGTCACTGTCTTCTGTGATGGTTAATTTAGGATTTTGTTCTGAATCTTGGGTAGCGTATTGACACTCTAATTTTAAACGTCTATAGTACTCAGGCATAGCCTCCTCTATTCTGACAAGGCCTGGCGGATCGTCAGGACAAGTGGCCGCCGAAATTGAAAAGTTAGAGCGGCAGACAACGGATGAGAGGAGAGCCACGTGAGGGGCGCCGCGCTGTGGCGAGACGCCGAAACACACTTCTCCCGAGCGATGGAATGTCCACTCGTGCTCCTCGCGTTCCTCGCTCTGCCGCTTCTTTTCTCGTCGGGTTTCAAAACCATGTTTCCGGTCCCCGCCGCTGCAAAAGCTGTGCAGTGACGTTCAGGTGCCCCGAGAAATGCTCTGTGCTACCAGATCCTCGCGCTCTAAATCTGCAACCGGGCACTGTATGACTCCGTCGTCGAACTGCAAGGCTTTGTGAGTACAGAGGAGGCTATGACCCGGGCTTTGGCTGCGCGTGCGACGAAGTTCTATCACAGGCAGAAGGCGAGGTGCAGCATCTACTGAATCCTTGGCCTGTCACCGGATTATACGAATTATTTAAATAAAACAAGCCGCTTTGTTTTATTCGTCACCGTTAAGCTCTTTAGTGAACCTTTCAAGTGTAAAATACTAGAACTACCAAAGAAAACATGTGTTGAAAAAAAAATCTTGCGTTGCACAGGTGTCGGGGTTTGGAAGTGCCCATATATTCGCAATAAGGGCCCGAACCTTGTATTCAACCCAGTCCTGTGCATAATAACGGGTTTTGCAGGAATTAAGACCGTAAAGGACCCTGCTTTAGAAAAAAATTGTTATATATATATACATAACTGACACTTTTTTCATCATTGTACGTGGTCTCCGAGGAGAAAATAAACAAACATGCGCAGATGAATGGACCGTACTTAATCGAATGAATCAAAGAATCAAATTTTTATGAACCTGCAGAAAGCCAAATATACGGCGGAGCCAGGATTTGAACTCTTTCTTCTGTCTTGTACGGGCTCATCTACGATACTGTTAGCCAGGCACGTATCATAGAGGTTTGTACAGAAACGGCGCGGACCGCATATCTCGGCTATGGGATTCCCAGAGCCACCAAGTAAACTACGCTTCGCATATGGTAACGATACTTCGGCCATCTTGTTGCTTAAAATTACTGTCTCTGACTATGTAAACGTTCATCGGAAATCACAGCAAACACTTTTCCGCCCTTCAGAAATGTTTAAACAGTCCGAACCAGAGCAAACAGATATCGCGCGAGCTTATGCGTTCGTCTGATTCATGCCCATGGGCTGCGGCGACGTCAGAACGCCGGGCTCTGATTGGCTCCGATTGGGAGGATAGTGGGTAGACCTCAAAGCAGCTAGCATTGAGGTCAACTCGCTGACCTTCCAGTCGGAGCCAATCAGAGCACGGCGTTCTGACGTCGCCGCAACTCCTGCAAAAGAGGCAGACGAACTTGCAGTCCGTATAAACACCATCAAAAGCTCCGGAAGTCGGAACTTTTGGATTGTAACAATTGCCAAGTGCTCCCGATCTGCCCTAGGCAACAAAATGGCATCGCCCACAAGAACAACCGAGTGCAAAATTACTTTAAAACCCGTCCTTTTTGCCTTCCATGCGTTCCCGTAGGTGAGCCGAATTCTTTAATAAAAGAGTTTATTTTGCTAAGTCAATGGAGGAGGGAGCGCGGATGCTTTAAGCTTAGGTTATTAAACTGCTGTAAAGGCCGGTTCAGACACTTGCGTTTGAGTGCGTTTGACTGCTTGGCGTCGAAAACCGAAAGCGAGTCACCAGCACATTTGTGCTTCGTATGAATCGTGGAATCTAATTCAAGGAATCATCTTGGCACGCGATATAGACAGCAGGGATGTCCTGGTTTCAGGCAGCCGCAACGCAGTCAAACGCAGACAAACGCAACTGTCTGAACCAGGCTTAAGAATAAATACTTTGGGCACGGAAAGGGATCGAGTTTTTCATGGCAGAGTCATCTACGGGGCAAGCAAAAGCAAGACCGGGGGGGGGGGGGGGGGGGGGGACACGAGACTTTACTTTGCATAAAAATGTCACGAGAGGGCGTAGCGCCGCCTAATGGAAGGGCGACTTTGTGAACGTTTTCCCGAATTTTTTTTAATCAAAGCATTTTTTTTATTAATGTTTGCGTTGATGAGAATCATCTTTTCGCACCCACTGTACCTACTCATTAAAAACTAAATACTAGTGCTTGAGCATGTGTTTGAGCCAAGACGCTTGAGGTCGCGTTTGCAAACATTCTTTTAAGTTTTTCAACGGCTTAAAAAAAAATCATGACAAGAGAATCAAATTATTTTTCACAAACCACAGGAGTAACTTTGGGAACCGAGCCCGCTCAAACAAACAAACAAAACACACACAAAAAAGAAAACTCTCAGCCTTTCCGTTCTGGGGAAGAAGAAAGACCAGCGAAGCTGTACTAAGGTGGGAAGGAAGCAGTGGCTGGCCGCAAGCTACCAGGCCAGAGTGGAAAGGCTGTAAAGGTCGCCGCCATCTATGAGCGACGGCTGCAACCAGGAGACCGGCAAGCCAGTTGTCTGGTTGCCGCCGTCGCTCATAGATGGCGGTAGCTGTCCAGAGTTTTGTGTCATCATTTGTCTGCTGGCGGACACGACACTGGGGAAAATAGCCCTTAACAGCTCTGCCGTAAAAAGTGGGGTTGGGGACCTTTACACGATGGGAGTTTGATCTGGTAGTGCTACGATTACCACGATGGGCGGTACCGGTCCAACGCCGTAGCAGAACAATCTAGCCAGTGCAGCACAAGTGCTGAAATGAGGTTTCTAATGTGCATCAAGCAGTAGAAAATACAGGATCGTGCGCAGGTACAGTCACGGACAATATAGAAAAGCCCGG